GTGTGTGTGTGTGTGTGTGTGTGTGTGTGTGTGTGTGTGTGTGTGTGCGCGCGTGCATGCGTGTATATGTGTATATGTATATATGCATGTATGTATGTATGCATATAAAAGATACTCCATTTACACGAGAACACGCTACCTTTAAATGCTGAAGGCTGGCCTCTATGTTCTGGATGTAACACATCATCAGGGTGCGCGACTCGACAGAGAAGGACGTTCTTAACGCTTCTGAACTGGATTCCTTGGCAGCTTGCCAGTGGGAGGCTAGCAATTCCTCTGTAAATGGTGAGCTGGCGGTAACTGGCTGGCCATCCCGAGACCTGGGTTGTTGGTGGGCAGAGTCCATTGTGCTTCTGTCTGCAGTGCACTGTAGAACGAGCGAAGTTACCTCTTCGTCGGTGGAGCTCTCCTGTACTGTGCCATATCCATCAAGGATCAAATAATTTCCTACAAAGAGAACAACCTTAATGCCTCCATAAATGGCTTGGGGGAGCATATAACCCAATCTATCTGTCTGTGTGTCTCATGCAAACTTCTTCTCTCAACCCTTCTGTTATGAAGTTGTACCACTGCCAACTAGTTCCTGCCACATTTTGCCCTTGCTCTGGAAGAGAGGTGGCACTTATGCTAAATGGAAAAAATGTGCAATTTCTTAAAAGCATGTGGCATGTAGGGGAACTGGCAATCTGAATGGGATTTCGGGTGGACAGAAGGAGAGTATACAGATTAATATATATACAGATTAAAGGACCCTTTAAGTCATCTAGTCCAACCCCCCGCCCAAGCAAACCCTACACCATTTCTGACATATGGCAGTCCAGTCTCTTCTTGAAAGCTTCCAGTGATGAAGCTCTAATTGGATTTAATCAGTCTTTTATTGACCCAAAAGATCAGAGGGAAAAGGTCCAAGACAAGACAGCCAATGGCTGGAATCCGACACCAGACCTCCTAATCCTATTTCTTATTTCTCTCCCAATGCATTTCAAACATATCCAGAGAAACTCTGATTACCAGGAACACGCTTAATGAGAGAATTCAGCATTTAGCAGATACTCTTGGGTTTTGTCGTGGCTCAGAAGCGCTCCATCATCCTTCCCAACAACCCCCAGGAGCTTTGACAACTCAGTGGTCTGTTTCAGATTTGTATCCTGCTGGATGGACTCACCTGAGATCCGTAGCTGCACCTCTTCCTTCTCTTTCCCATCTCCCACATCACCTTCGGATGGGTTCTCATCGGTGTGAGCTTCCTGAGCATCAAAAAAGTGCTCCCCACCCTCTTCAGCAGCACTGGTTCCTCCTTCCAGTTCCTTGGCTGGGGGCTCTGGGTTTGTTCTCAAGGGGTCCATCAACTGCCCGCTAGGCGACACAGCCTCCCCTGGTGAGACCAATTCGTTTGAAGGCCATTTGTCACAACTAAGTTCAAAGTCATTTGCTTTTGTCCCCGTGGGTGTCCTTCCAGGCCCAGAGAGGGCATTGTCGTCGTTATCTGAGAACTGGAGTCCTCTCTTGACAATGTTCTCCTCAGGGGCCCCTGGCAGGTCTCTTCTATGGTCAGAAAAAGGATGCCAGTCTTCAAGGGACACTTGTTCAGACATGCCAAGCTGCTGCATCAGTAACTTCTTCAATAAACCCACTGGAAAGGAAATGCGAGAGCATCAGAGTCGAGTTCTGCCAAGTATTCTCTCTTCTTGACGGCCTCGGTCAAGAGGCAGGAGCCCAAAGCCCTTGGGAAGGAGCCACTGGCTCTCGCTGCTTTCGCCCTAGAAGCTGGAAGCCAGAAGCCAGATGTCTCCAATCTGGCACTAACTCCCATCAGCCTTCAGTCAAATAGCCAGGGGTCAGAGGAGTTAGGAGCTGCAGTCCAAGTCGCCTTTCACTTTGTTTAGGGAAAGCTCAGGCAAAGTGGAAGACATATATACACACAACACATGGTGTTATTATTGGAATACAGTCATAGGCTGATAATCTGATTTTCTTTTACTCTTATCTTTGAAAGGCAGGTTATCTTCATTGGTTCAAGGGGCAACAGATACCTCTAAACCCATCCAACATAATTTCTACCCAGGCCTTACAGATTCATGCCCCTTCAACTACTTACAGTTTCTTAGTGCATCCAATGCCCATCGATTTTCTGAAGCTTGGAATGAGAGCTCTGGACTACTTTGGCTGTAATGTTCTGGTGACTCTTTGATCAATAAGTCCGCTGGCAGTTTTTCTCCAAACTGCTTGTTGGCTTCCAGAAGTTCTTCCTCTTCTGACTTCTCAGACATGGTTACTGAAGGAGACGAAGTCTTCAGCCCCAAATCTTTATCCAACAAACAAACCAAACGACAAAACGAATGCAAGAGTTTAAAAGAAAGCGTAAAGTTGAGTTAAGTATTTGACATTCTCTTTGTCTCTTAGTTTGAATCTTAGCTCTTCTTTTGGAGTGACAGCTCAAACCGCAGAACTTACAATTAGACAGCTACCTATTTATGGACTTCCAAAACTTTGGAGGCAGGGCATGTGTGATGACCCGGGATGTGGCACAAAGGCAACACAGTCAGATAATCAATAAGAGTCCCTTTATTATCTCCAACTTTGCCCCTAATGTCCAGGTTACCTTCTGGGCTGGAGAAAAAAACTCTCCCAGGAACAGCCTTTGACTGCAGAAAATTCAGTCCAAAACAGGGTAAACACAAACTGTAACTTAAAGTCCAAACAAGCCAAACTGAAATAATTAGTTTGGCAGGGCAGTAGAAGGAATTTCACACTTGAAAGCACGGCAAAACTCACACAGTTGGGAAGATATCAGGAACACAGACAAGCCACAACAATATAAGATAAAGTCAGTTTGCTCCCAACAGCTTGCCTTTTTTATAAACTGTGTTCCCAGCTGCAGCTAATTAAGGGAATCAGGGCCCTTTCCTCCCCCATAAACCACACAACCCACATTGCTTTCTTTTCCGTTCCTCCCTGCGTGCCCTAGGATGAAGAGGGTGTGGGCCTGGGTCTTCCTCTGAATTCCCTCTCCCTTGTTCTACCGCTCCTCTTCTCTGCCCAGCCAGACTTTGCCCTTCCCCAGTTTCCTCCACAGCCAATGGAGCCACGCTCCCACTCCCTGTCAGCTGTTCGTTTTCCTCCTTGGATTCAGACTCCGACAGGGGCATGACAGCATGTTATGTAAAACAGAATACCAAAAATATTAATGTACCATTGAGTATTAAGTATCTTGATGAAAGAAGTGAAACGTATCTGCAGAATTCTGTACCATACCCTGTCTAAGGTAATTTTCCAGAAAGGCTCATTTCAATTAAGAAAGACTTCAAGCTCTCCAGAATAATCAGAAGTGCATTGAAATCTGCCCTTAGTTTTTACCTGGACTTTGCTTGCTGCTATCTGGGCTAGTCTGTTCTTCCTTCAATTTAGGCTGGTCATCTTCTTCCTCGTGGTCTTCCCTGCAAGCCAAAGAAGGAAAACAAATCAACCACTGTGGAATCCTCACTCATAAGCTGTGTCTTTTTAAAATGCAGATCCTGCTTAGTTGCAGGCTACCTGTGGAATTAAACACCCATCAATATTTCTTTTTGTTCATACATATGTTGTTGTTTTTTTCAACTTACTCGCATGGTCCCGATTGTGGCAATGGAATTACATTTCTGCCTCTTCCAACTTTGACGTTTCCTGCCATCTGTACTATGAGGTCTTGCCATCTATAGTAATGCAGATATAAAGAAATTTGTCCAAAATAAATCTTCTTCTATCTCCTGCAGATGGACACAAGCTCTACTCCTGTCAGCACTCCATTTAAGGTATTGTATCTTTTTCTACGTATGTTTGGCCTTTGTGCAATGAGGGTGCTTAGGTTGCTTTGAAGTACCTTTTCTGCTTGAAATTGAATAGGGTCATATTCCCAATTTTCATACTTCGGGTGCTTTTCTTGAATTAACTGAGATTTAAAACTTTTGCAGAACAATGTCCTTGATGACAGATGAGCCTGTTTGTAACTTAATAAAGACTACAAATATTTTCTATGACATGTTTTGAGAAGCCCTGCTGTTGATTAATATGTTATTAATCCAGGTTGACTTTAAATGTGGAATACTACATGGACCTCAACTTTGTTTCTTGGTTAAATCTCCTCCATGCTCCATTTTTATTGGCAGGAGAGAAAGATGACATAGTGGGAGGAAGAATCCTCAAATAGTTCTATTAAAAAACACCTACAACTTCTAGAAGGAGGCTCCTTCACAGATTTGGATCACAAGATTTATTTCCCTCTTTAACAAGTGATAAATAGTCTGCATTTTCCCAAGACGACTTACACTGTCTTTTCAGAAACTGTCTGTGCCACCAGTTCATAAATCTGGGCTCCATTTTCCGACATGGAAATGACAAAGAATGCTTTATTATCTGGAGAAACAAAGAACAAGTTAAAGCTGATAGAACCTCTATCTTCTTTTGATTTACTACAATTCAGCTTTGTATATCAGATATGGTTGAGAAGAAGACAGTAATTTTTGCAGCAACTACATGAGTTTAGAACGGGCCTATAGTTCTCTGCTCAAGTGCGACTCTTAACACTGTAGTTCCTACATCAATCCTTGGTCGAATAAACACTAGCACAGGTTGACTGATGTGGGCAATTTTGCATTAAGGATTGTCGAACAGGTGAATAGGAAGTGCTATACAGTTCACTTCTATTTGTATAAAGTTCTATGAAAAAGTTAGTCCTTCCATTTTTGTCACTAATCAATATCAGAGCTCCTTATGGATAATAATAATATAAATTAAGTGCTTTAAATATCTAAGACTGATTATGTTTTAATCCTCTAGAAACCAAATAGCTGAAATTAGCCATTGCTTTAATCTTAGCCCAAAGGAATGCAGCAGCAATTCTCACACTTTACCTCTCACAGGTCAGAGGTTTAATTACAGCATCTATTATGCTATTTGCTGGAAAATCAATTACACAACTTCTGTATGGAACCTAATTAGGCTTTTTTCCCCAAACTGGGCCCTTACAAAGGAGAGCAATTAGGAATATATATACTTAAATGAAGGTTAGAGACTAAAAGCCACGTTTTTAAGAGCAGTCAATTCTGGCAAGCACTTTTATTTAATTGGATTCTAACAGGGCTACTTCTATTAAGTATAAATATACCAGGTAGCAGAATGCCACAAGATTACCCTCCTGTGGCCTTTCCCCAGAAAAATCTCAAGTGCAGCAGACTGGAGATACAGATAACCAACAAGATGGTAACCAAACTACATGGATTTTACTATAGCCCTGTTTGCAGCCCCGTGTGCACGGGCTGAACCATTGTCTTGTTGTGTTACCGATTTGTGTTTCAACTTTAATTAACAGACATTGGGGGGGGGGGGGTGTCCTTGGGTTTCACTATCCCATATGGAAACAGCAATCCATTCCATTACCTCTACCAACTGATACGAGGCTGTTACTGGAGAATACACTTCTCTGGATCGACCAGATATAATGACATCCATACAGCCTGAAAAGTTCCAGTTTTGACTCAACTGCTCAGAGAGCATTCTGTCAGAAAGCAAAGGTCAGCTAGATGCTTGAGAGGAGCATCAAGGTTCTTCTTAATGAGCAAAGATTTTCAACCTGCTATTCTTCCCTGAATCCCATCCTTATACCCAAGGGCAATGATTGGATTAGACAGCACCATTTTTTTTTTTCAAAACAGTGTTAGATCCGCAATATACATTCTCAGTCCTACTAACCTGTAGCCACTTGGCGAACCAAAACGGTGTTCAGTTTAATAACAGGGCTAAATGTGTGCTTGCTATCAGCTGTATTAGCCAGGATCTTGCTGTGACATCTCAACACCAGTCTGTCATCTTGCTTCTGCAACAATACCAGAATATCTTCCAAGAGCAACGTATAGAGATCTGCAGTGGTAAAGAGAAAAACAGAAATGGGCTATTATTTCTACTTTGTAGTTATCGAAGGCTGCATCCCAAGCAGAAGCAATAATAAGCCATAAAATTTCTCAGCCAGGCACACATTTTAGACCCATCTGTAATTCTGAGAACCAGCTTGAAAACCACTGCTGCCTTTATTATCTTCCAACCCATTTCAAAATACTCATTGCTTAATTAGCTCTAAGGAAATGACATAACATCTTCAAGTAATTTCCCCCAATGTCCTATCAGTCTCAAGGAAAATAACAGGTAACAACGTACCAATCATTTTGTCACGATTCACCTTCCAAGTCAGAGGCCCTTCATGAATCATTTTTTTCTTCGTTAGATCTAAATTCTACCAAAAAAGAGCAAAATGTATTTATACATATTTATCCATTTTGATTGGCAGATCCTTGGTGTTTTGTTGCATTTATTGTATTTTACTTCCTGATAGGTGTTTTAGTATGGAACTACTTTTCTGTAAAATTCAATTTATCAGAAGGATATTGCAAATTTGAGGCACCAATATCAGATATCTTTTAATATCTATTCATCTTATTTGTTCACAGAAAAAGGCAGAGTGATTTTGATTACCTCACTTCCTAATTATCATAGGTAGGTCATTTTGCACTAAAGAATTCTAACCTGAGAAAAGGGACAGGAAGCGACCTCATAATTCCCTTTCAAGCCTCCCTTTCTAGGCAACAATTCTCATTTTATATAGCCTGATCCAGCTTGTTGATAAATCCAGGTCCATCTGTGTCCTGAGCAAAACTGGCCCCAAATGTGGTGAGTTATGTAAAATTTTCCATTCGTTTTGCTTTGCGGTATCTCAAAGTCCAAATACCGGAGGCAATAAAATTGGGTAGAAAGAGAAGCAGAAAGAACTACAAAGTACATCTGTGAATGCTTATCTGATTTCAGGATCCCTCTCCTCTTTCTTCCACTCACCCTGAATTCATCCAGCAGAGGGCCCTCCACCTGCTTCAGGTAGGACAAATCAAGCCGCCGCTGGTAGTCCTCCAAACGCTGATGAGAAAAGACAAGCTCAGGTCAGCTGAAGGCAAGCAACAATTAAGTCATTCTGGGATCCCTTTAAAACAAAGGATAGACAGAGACGCCTTCTCATTGATAAACCCATAAACCCACCACGCAGCCAATAGTCCCTTCAGGTTTTGAAAACCCGAGTTGCATTTGCCTCTTCTTACCTGCTTGTTCTCGGCTTCTTTGACAGCTTGGTTCACAAAATTGAGAATCTGGCGACAGTGATCTGCTGCTTTCTTCACTTTTTCCTTCTCTAAAGGTTGCTCTAAAGTATGAAACGGGTGAAAAGTGAAACAATAATAATGAAACACATAACCGCGCGCGCACACACACATTCATTCTCAAGACGAAATGCACTCTTTTGTCTGACAAAACAGCTAAGACAAAATGTAAACGCCCCACATTTTCAAGCTTCTTTTAAAAAGCAAATTATGAAGCGGAACTTTGTATCAATGCTTTCTGAAATTCATGCATTAATGTTATAGGTAATAAGAATGCAAAAAGGGAGGAATGGCAATGGCAAAAATGAATACAGAATATTTTATCTCATCATTAACAATCTAATTTTTTAAAATCACGACTCATCCTTCATCTGGAGGAAAATAAGGGGATTTCAGAAAGATGAAGCGGTACTGAAATGGGGGCAAATTATTTTTCAACAGAATTTGTTAATTTGGGTTTTATTTTGAACCCAAGTTGTTCTCTGTAACTGCCATATCCCAATGCAGCCACAAACAAAATGGGCTATGTGGTACCTGAGTACTTTGCAATATTATCCAGCAAGAGGGGATACTTGGTGAGCCGTTGCATCTCAGTGGGAATAATATCTTTTAGCTGTAATCGGCGACACAGCGGATTGCTCTCAGCTTCCTAAATGGAAAAAGTGGAAGTGTATATGTAATTTTTATTAAGACCATAATTACCTGAATTGATACAGCCCTATAAACGTTTTAGTGGTTCGCATTTCAGGCTAGAAAATACAAGTTAAGGAACACCAAGATTGAGCAGAAATGAAAACAATCCTATTTTAGTAGGCAATTAGAGGAAAGGTTCAGCGTGAAACCTGCAAACAGATTCCGCTACTCATTATTTCAGACTTAATATGACCAGCGATCAATCTCAGTCGCAGACTTATAGGAGACAGTAGCTTAGTTTTCTGCATCATGTAAAGAGTACATAATATTTTAGAATCCCAACCAGCGAGCTGAGGAAATTAGCGAAGATCTTTCATAAATCAAGCGAGATACTTGGCATTTATTTATTTCTCCTTCAGTTTTTTTTTTTAAAAACCAGGACACAGCCTCAGAAAGGTGTTTTTTTTAAAGAGCTCAACTTTGAAAATGGAGAGCTCCACTTCCTGCAGAGGCTTTGATGTGGGAGATTGTCTTCCAGCCTATAAACTGACTCCCAAAAAGCTCACGAAGCTAACAGGAATTTGAATGAGCTACCAGCTCATCACAGAGCTGAGTTAAAATGGGGGGAGGACTATTTGGTAGCTCTTATACTGAAATGGAGCAAATGCCACCTTCGCTGGATTAGTCTATCAAAGATTTCATAGCAAAAAAAAAAAAGCTCATGCATGGACAGATTAAGTATAGTTCTAATTTGTAAATTACAGGTAGTCCTCGGCTTACGACCAAAATTGAGCCCAAAATTTCTGTGGCTAAACAAGACATTTATTTGTTCAGTGAGTTTTGCACCATTTTAGAACTTTTTTTTTTTTTTGGATACATTTGGTAAGTGAATCACCGCTGTTCTTAAGTGAGTAATATGGTTGCTAAGTCAATCTGGTTTCCCCAGCTGACACTGCTTGTCACAAGGTCGCAAAAAGGGATGACATGATCCAGGGACATGGCGAACGTCATTAATATGAGTCAGTTGCCAAGTGTCTGAATTTTGATCGCATGATGATGGGGATGCTGCCACAGTCGTAAAGGTGAAAAATGGTCATAACTCGCTTTTTTTCCAGAGCCATTTTAACTTTGAACAGTCACTAAGTGAACTGCTGTAAGTCAAGGATTACCTGTATAAAAAAGTATAATTTTAATTATCAAAAGTCATCTAGGGCTGCTTCAAGTTGAGAAAAGCAGCATATAAGTTGAATGAATGAATGGATGGATGGAAGGAATGGCTTGTCCTCACCTCTGATCTCCAGCAGCCCTAAAGCAAGGATCAGCTAGATGCCAACCCCCCAAATATTTACCTGGACGAAAATCTGGAAGCGAGAATCCTTCTTTTGCCTTGACTTGATCACCTCAAGAGCAAAAGGCTGGTTGCTACAGAAGGTAGCCGTGGCTTGCTTCAATTTCTCTTCGCCTGCTTCACTGAACTGGGATGAGAATCCACAGGTACAAAATGTAAAAATAATAATAATAATGAACTGCAGGTACAGTGCTAGCATGAACAATTACTTACACAGCAAATGGATGCTTGGGAACAAAACATGTTTCTGTGTTAGCCAGTTCATGGGAAGACCCATTTTCCTCTTTCTTTCTATCATTGTACACAAACTTTGGAAAATAGCGGTTCCTATTACCAGCTTTAATGAACAACTCCCAAGATTAAATAATTATCATAAAACCTATTGCTACTAAATACCAGCATGCCTCATTTTTAGGGAATCCTGATTAAGTCTTTAATGCCTTGATGAATATATTAATATTTGCTGCACTTTTGTATTTTAATGTTCTTACTTGACTCCAAATACCTAATGTGAGAACTTACAGCCTGAAACTCTCCAAGATGTTTAATAACTTTGTCTTCCTATCACTTCCAAGTTTTGCACTCTCCTGACTTTGTGAAACAACTTTTAGAGGATAAGAAGCCCTCTTTTTTCTTTATGAGGAATGGTGACCTTTAAGCTAAATGATCTTATTCACATGTTCATTATATAAGAAAGCCACTCGGCTAGATATTTCTTAGCGAAAGCAAATACGTGGCCCATGTTGCCAAACCTTATTTTAATACTGCCCCTTTTTATTTAATTCTCCTAGAATGGAAGTTTCAGATAATAGATTTCTAGAGAAGATAAACTGTTGTAGCTCAGCTGATCTTTTATTTCTTAAACATTTCAATTCTCAGGGAAAAAAACCCCAAAGTTTTTTCTCATATGTACACACACAAACATTTAGTTTACCCAAGTTAACAAATCTTCTCCAATTTGATCAATTACAGATGTCTCGTTTCTTTTCCTCACTGCTTTCATCTGCTCATTCAGTCCAGCTAAGTAGCAAAGAAAGAGAAAGAAGGAAAGAGATTTGGAAAAACCAAAGCAATTGTCTGAAACCACTGATACTTAACCATCCCATGGTTATTTCAGGATCAACTTCTACGTGGTTGTAACAACCAGCCACACACGTTCCACCCCCTCCTGCATTTTTCTGCAATGCAGGGTCCCCTTTGTTTTCAAAACAACATTTGGTTGATCCATTGGCTGGGACAGATTAGCTTGGTAGTCGAACCTGACATTGTGAGCTGAGAAAATGACTGACCCGAAGACACCCAGCTAGCTTTCATGCCTAAGGCAGGATAAAACTTAGTCTCCTGGTTTCTAGCCTGGTATTTTAACAATTAGACCAAGATAACTCTCTGTATAGTATAATAATATAATATAATAAATATAATAAATATAATATAATATAATATAATATAATATAATATAATATAATATAATATAATATAATATAATATAATATAATATAATATAATATAATATAATATAATATAATATAATACAACATAATATGTATTAAGTTGTTCTGTTGTTCATTGTGGTAGAAGGAAGCAATCTTCAATGGAGTTATTTTCTTGGAAAAGATTTATGAGGAATCAAAAATAACCAGCCCCATAAAATCCTCCTCCTCCTGGTCATCATCTTCCACCTCTATTTAATACACACCCTTTTTTGTGCAATAGCTTTTACAAGTGATTGACTCACAAGAGTGAATTAATTTAAAGTCTGAGACAGGATAAAAAGCTTGCAGTTAAGCACATTTTCAAGCATCATTCTATTCTAGTGGCCTAATAAAACCGTTTCTCACACATACAAGCAGCTATGCAGCACAATCTGAGGCCCTAAAACCCCAGGCAGCCCCTCCTGCCTTAGATGTCGCACCTTCAAGTGGTTAGTCACTCAGTTAGGAACTGCTTTATTAACCCAGCAGTCAGGTAGTCTCACTCACTATGAAGCTGGAGGATATCCTCCAGGTTCGAAAATATTTTCCGCAGGTCAGGAGCTGTCAGAATCCCTTCGCGGGACACACGCTGGTAGAACAAGTGGTCCAGGACTTTCAGCTTACGGACATGTGCACGTTCGGTGTAGAATAATTCTGGAAAGAAGGACAACAAGTAAGAGTGACTGTGATGGTCTTCGTAAGGGAAAGAGAGAGGGGGGATTAGATGAAGAATGTGCAGATGAAGAACATCTTCAGAATAATATTAGGAGGTATTCCCTGAAGGTAACAATTGCTGAACAGTAGAACAAATGAACTCTTTGAGATAAAGGAGAATCTAAATTGCGCACTCTAGCTGTCCTTTACTGCCCCAAGTATAACACAATTGGCACTGCCTTCAGAACTATGGCAGGCCAACCTCCCTCTCATCCTCCTAGGAATCTTCCTCTGGACAATGTGACTGAAAACCAGCATTGCAATTTTGAAGGTGGACATAGCACCTTGGTTACAGAAAACAAAGAAACAACCAAGCATGGAATTCCTCTGGTTCTCTCCCCGCTCCTCCATAAACTCACCATTAATCACTTCCTGGCGTTTAATTTCAGATGGTTTCAAGCCAAGCAACACTTCACGGCTCACCAGCTGCTGCCAGTTGGGCTGGTCGGTCTCCATGTCAAAATCGAAGAGCTCATCTTCACTCTGGACATCCCCTGCACTCACACTGTCCACCCTAGGAAGAGGGAAAGGAAAGAGGCTTCTTTAAACTTAGCAAGGCACTTTGTGGGAAGACTAAAACTTGCCTTGTGGTTAGACATGATGTCTAATCAAGATTTGTATTGTATCCTCAGTATTTTCTTTTTATATTTTAGGTGGAGAGAACCACAAGGTTGCAGCTCAGCAAAAAAGGGGAAAGGCACATTTCTCAAAGACAACATAACAGCGAACTGAATTTGAATGATGATCCACTTGCTCTACACCGTATCTAGGTTTCACAGGAAAACTTTCTATGAATGTATTTGGATTTATGGTGGTGCCTATCCAAAGACAATAAAGATGCTGATAGTTTATGGGACTTTTCTTTCTTCCGCTATAGTCAGACTAATGTAAGAAACTATTGCCAAATCTATCTTAAGCACATGTTTACTTGTACTCACTTGCGGAAAGGTTTTGGAGTCCCTGATTCTCCTAACCTAGAAAGGAAACCAAACTTTTATGAAAACATTACTTGATAAAGAGATTTTATTAAAATTGATCACTTTAGACAGCAGCGTTCAATAGTAGTTCAAGATGACTTTCATACCAATGAGGAGCACAGTTATAAAAGACTAAAAACAATTGAATTGAACATCTAGGCCAGGGGTCTTCAAACTTGACAGCTTTAAGACTTCAACTCCCAGAATTCCTCCTTCAGTCATGTTAGCTCAGGAATTCTGGGAGTTGAAGTCCACAAGTCTTAAACTTGCGAAGTTTGAAGACCCTTGATCTAGGCTGTCATCTCTGTCATCTTAAAAAGCCATGCCATACTTAATTCTCTTATCTCTAAATTACAAAAGCTAGTGCTTAAGTTTGAGGCTAAGACTTGCCTATCAACTTCTCCTTCTTCTTCTTGCAAATGGTCCAGGGGAGGAGATGGAAAATCAAATATGATGCTAGGTGTACAAGGTGTGCCATCCACAGAATCACCAGAATTCATTGTTTCTCCAACTTGTTTTGGCCCTAAATATAAGCACACAACAAATAATAAGGCAGAGCTGTATTAAACCTCTAAAGCCACCTGCTTTCTCTTTTCCACTATTTCTCCACCTTATTTTTCCTAGAACCACATCATCTCTCGAATGAGATAAGTGGCCTTTCAACATCAAAAACCTATAAAAATGAAAGTGACCTGCATGACAATGGAATGTTTTCCTCTTGCAACTGGAAAATAAAAAGAGACTGTAATGCAGTTTTTGACAATGATGTCAATTTACCTGTTTCACCATCTTTGCTGCCTTCCTGAGATAGAAACATTCCAGAAGCTGCTGGAGATACAAAGTTAGCAGGCTGGAAGGCTGAATCCATGCCTTCACTGATCCCACTTTGGCGCATCTTGACCAAATCAGGTGGTTCTGGACTGACCGAAGACGATGAGGATAAGTGCTTTGGATGGCGTTGTTTTTGTATCTCCATGGCTCTGCCTACTGGGTGAATAAGGAGTAATCAGCAATGCATAAAATTTACTCTCCCCTGAAACCTGAAAAATACACACACACACCCATAGTCTAGCAACTAGTTTGGCTTCAGGACACTATGATCAAATTAAGTAGAAAAACAATATATATATATCTTCAGTTGACATACTTGCATAGCTGTCATGGCGGCTCGGCCTCCTTGGAGGTCCCAGGATATTTGAGAAGACTCTCCTCTTCTTTTCATCCCCTTCCTTATCTTTCTTCATACTTTGCTGCAGTTAAAAAGGAACCGAAAAAATAATTCTTGTTAAAAATGTCTTCTAATGCAACCATTTAAAACATGGGTGTCCAACCTTTTGGCTTGCCTGGGCCACACTGAGTGAAGAGGAATTGTCTTGGGATATATATAAAAATATATAATTAATGTGTATTATTATCGCTAAAATCTAATAATAATGTTAAAAGTTTACAATCCTGTAGGGCCACATTACTAGCTGTCCAAGCTGCCTATGTCCTTTTGGCCATGGGTTGGACATGCCTGATTTAAAAGGAAAGTTTTAGTTATTCTGTAATTCAGATTCACCAAATGATCTTGCACCTTCAAGATGGCAACAAACTGCTGTGTAAAGACTAACAAGAGACCAGCACAAGTAGATGCATGCATGGTCTCTTAGAACATTTAGTGCTCAAAGCAGAAAACTGCAGAGTTCCATGAAAGGGAACAATTCCCTGGAATTCCCTTAGCAGGCCCTTTCAAAAGGGAGCTGTTCTACAATGTTGTACTGATGTCCTTAATTAAGTTTCAAAACTGACAATTTTTACTCTTTTACAACATCTTCTAAGGAATTCAGTTTCTGGTACAAGGGCTAATACATCTCCATGCAATAAAGATGTACATAATGCTTAATTCTGATTCTCTACTGGTGTGGCTAATTAAAATGACTGTACATATGATATCCTCTAATTTACCTCCAATATCAGATTCAGAGACTCTATTTTCTACTAGATAATTTTTTTTCTTCAACTGCTTTTGCAATAGGTTCAAAGTGGCAGAGACATGAAGCACTACTTAACTTCAGCTGTGCTTTGTTAACATAATGTTATTAAAACGGTAATGTATCAATTTGACAGTCCACCCACTTTACCTTTATCTTTGGCAGGAATCCAATCCGTCCCCGTTTTTGATCTAGATTCCGGGGTTCTTTGACTCTTACACCAAGGTGCTTCATGTAGGTGAGAACAACATACTGTATAGATGAACTGTAGATGAGACAAAACAGAAGAATGGGAAAACAACATCAAGTTACTTCAATGATGGGATGGCAAATGAGCTTCTCTCTTTTCCAATATATTTTTCTGGCACTGACAGCAATTTGTATTGTTATGACCCATAAGGAGATGTGAGGAGCTACCTACACATGACTATTTCTATTATCTTATTAGTAAAATAATCAACACCATTATTATCCAGAAATTGCTGATTTAAGTGGGAATTAATAATAATAATTGGAAGAAAAATTATGCAATCCAAAAAGTATTGAACTGAAACTTCATTGAATACTAGCAATTATAATACTCATAAATCCAAATTATAGGGAGGCATGTAGTTTTAAATTCAGTCACTGCCATTTCTCTTAAAGTAGGATGTGGGATAAAACAGGTGTGAAAGATCCCTTGCCTGTTATTGTATAGACCAAGGTCCTGTTGGATTGTATTGTATTGATGTAAAGGAGGGTAAGAGAGAAGAATGTACAGAAAATAACTGTAATTTGCCTAAACAGCCAACGGAGGACTCCACCAGTTCAGCACATATAAACCAGAATGGAAAGATTTAGCATATGATTGTAACCAGGGTTTAATTACCTCTTATCCTCTTCTATAGGCTGAGAGGACACCCTGCAGAGGAAAGAGGCAAAAATTAATTTTAAAAATGACAGTTTCAATGTTCGATATTCACTTTCATTTAAGACTGGCAAAGATTGGCTTGTCCTTCAACCCAACTTGTTATACTACTATAGTAATACGGCCAGATGGCTAAACGATAAATAGAATAAGCATCAGATGCAGAGTGCAAAAATTCTACATTCTGTTGTTGAAAGTTGTCAGCAAGAAGTCTCAGATCGTGACCAATAGGAACCAAGATTGGATAATCTAAGGTGTATCTTCCACTTGAATGCAACTACCAGAGTTAGTTGTCGTTAACAGGCATACCTATAATCTTATGGTTTGTCAAGCCCTCTTTTCCTCTGCAAAACATAGGCTCTGCTTTGCGACAATTCATCAACAGAAATAATTAAATATTGCTGGGCCCCAGCTCCGTTTTTTAAGAGCTGGACTAACAGCTAAAACGGAACACAATGATCTGAGCGCAGCACCTGCCTATAAAATTCATCTCTGCAGAAAGATGCTGCCACTTCCTTCCTCACCAAGTTCCCTCCTCTGCAGAGGACAGCTAAAAGGTTGCGTCTGCCTCAGGCATACTTACAGCACGTCTTCAATTTTAGTCAGGATTTGCTCTGCGCACGCTCTCTCCTTCTCTAAGGTCATCCGGTCCTGAACACGTTCGGCATCCAGCCGGGTCAGTTCTCCTTCTGCCAGTGTGAGTCCCATGCTGCGTTTCTGTCTAAAGGCACCGAATAAAGAGCGAGAAACTGTTGCAGGCACAAGAAAGGAAGCAATGGAGGCTCATCTTCAGGACTAAGAGCACCAACGCAGCAGGCTTTTCTTAAACACACCTTGGGTATTTCAGTGAATCCACTCAGTTAAACAGAATACATAATGCCAGAGGTCTCCAAACTTGGCAACTTTTCAGACCTGTGGACTTCAACTGGGAGTTGAAGTCCACAAGTCCTAAAGTTGCCAAGTTTGGGGACCCCTGCATTATGCATTATCTTATGTAAAGAAGACAGGCAGTCCTCACTTAACAACTATTCGTTTGGTGACTGAAGGTATGGTGGCGTTGAAAAGTAGTTCAGTAGTTATGACCTATCCTCAAAGGAACAGCCAGCCCCTATGATCACATAATCTGAATTTGGGTACTTGAAAGCCTGACCACACTTAAGACTGCAGCATGTACTGACTTAGATTAATTTCCAAAAAACCCCAAATCCTCAAAATGAAGATGGATACTTTGCAGGAAGTATTCCCTAAAGCACTAGAAATAAACAATAACTAAACTTCAAAGTTTGCACAAAATTCAACCAATAAACAACATGTACCTAAAATCTTCAAGGTGCTTTTGTACTTCAAGAAACACTTTTTCTTGCATAGCTTGAATACAGTGGCGGTGCAATTCTTCAGGAATTAATTCCAGCCTTCTCTTTTCTGCAGATAAAGGGGGAAATCCATTTTATTTAGAACCAAGTATTTTGCCGTTGTGATTGAAAGCTTTATCTCCCCCACTGAGGGCTGAAGTTACTCAAATGCAATTTTTCCTGCCTCCCAAGTTACACCTGTTGATATCAAAAATAATAATCATAATAGCCTTTATTGTCATTGTACATCATGTATACAATAAAATAGTTTAGCCTCTACTGGTGCAATCCATAACAGAAATACAAGACAACACGAATAGTATAGAGAATAATCCTAATACAAGTAATTGGGGGGGAAAACACTACATGGATACGAAATTCACTGGAATTTCTCAAAAAGCATTACATGTCCAAGTTCTAATCTTATCTAGATTATTTTCCAATAATCTTACCTAAATCACTTGCAATTTCATCTGGAACTGGAACTTTCAGGTTCTGCAAAAATGAAAGATAAAAATGTAAAGAAATTTCTTCCTTCGACTAATTCTGAGAATATTCTTCTACCTCCTGATTTTCACTGAGTGTACATGATTCTAAGATTTATGTACATACATAGTAACACACACTGAACCTTTTCCCATACAGGTAGTCCTTGACTTACATCCACAATTGATCCCAAAATTTCTGTTGCCAGGCAAGGCAGTTCTTAAGTGAGTTGTCCCATTTACTGACCTTTTTTGTCACAGTTGCTAAGCTGGGGATCACTGGGGTTGTTTAGTGAATCATGTGGTCATTAAGCAAATCCGGCTTCCTCCACTGACTTTGCCTCCAGCTGGGAGGTTACAAATGGTAATCACATGACCCCAGGACAGTGCAACTCTCATAAGTACATGCCAATTGCTAAACATCCGGGTTTTTTTTATCATGTGACCATGGGGATGCTGCAATGGTCATAAGTGTGAGAACAGGTCATAAGTCACTTTTTTCGGTGCCATGGTAACTTCAAACGGTCATTAAATGAATTTGATTAAAGTCAAGGATTACCTGTATCCATTTCCCTGGATATAAAAACAAAATGTAATCTACCTTCAAAACATGAATGATTTGGTCCAAAAAAAACCCCAGTGAGTTACAAAGTACTGTGGATGATCTAATTTCAAAGGCTCCAAGCCCATCAAAACATGGAACAGAAAATTAAAACAAGAATGTGTGTTCTGTAGCTTTTCTGTATGTGTTTGGAACTTACTGCAGCTCGATCCAGAAAAAATTGATTAAATTCAGCAAACACTCGGCGAGTCTCTTTGGAATTTGTTTGTTTGTACAGGTCTGCAAACAGGTAACAGAGCTACATGAACAGAAAACGAGAGTACAGTAAATGGTAACAATTAAGTGGAAACGTAATCCTACCTACAAATGCTTCTTTTGGGTTTTTAAGAGAGTTTTCATAGGGATTAGCTCTTCCTGAAGGATTAGAAAATGAGGTTTTTCCCCTTGGGCATTCACTTTTGTGACCAAGCTTTGCACAACATTTACAGTATCGGAAAAAACAGAGTTGTCCCCCACTCAAATCGATATCAGCCTTCCTCAAAATGATATCCTCCACAACTGTTGAATTGCCTGACAGACTGGAGGGGCCGAGGTGTAATTGGAATTGGTTCAACACAGCTGGGAGGTGACAAATGGGGAAAGGTACATTTAGGCTGAATGGGAATTCAGAACCCATCTGATCCATAACACAGGAATGAGTTGTAAACCAGCATCTCACCAAAGAAGCAGGGTCAAACTGGGAGATGACGTGATGCAAAAAGACAGCCAGGTGAGCAGGACGTGATTTCAGTAGCTCTATATTCTGGAAACAGCTACACTGCCCGTTGATCTGTAGAAACAGCATGGACGTTTTCAGAATGAGCACTCCAAGGTTCATGTTTCTTCCATCATAAACTCAACATAAAGCCTCTATCCTGTTATTTCATCCTAATGTGTATCTTTAATATTTTTAAACTACAAACCTCTTTCTCTCAGACTCCCTTACGAATCTCCAGAGAACTAAAAAGCATATGTAATGAGAAAGGAGTTCTTATATGCTGCTGCCAAAATTCAAACCAGATAAGACAGTCTAGGTACTAAACTACGGTAAGGAACTTTATATTGATAAATGTTGGTAGTAAGGTCAGATAAATTAAGCTGAAGAAAGTAATCACATGACAACTTTGCTGTTATGGTTGGCAGGCTACCTGTTCTTGTTCACCATCAAAGTCTTCATCTTCTGCTCCTATGATTGGAGGTGCCACACGAGAGGAAGGGCTTCCAAGGCTGGATGGAGAATCCTGGCATTGTCAGGGAAAAGAAACCATTGTAGTTTCTATTTCAGTGTGTGTGAATATTAGAAAGGCATTTTCCTGACACTAGAAGAGATTTTTTTTAAGAAAGCATTTGTGGATATGCATTGTACTTCAGTGCACTGTACATATTGTGAGCACCTATATAAAATAATCCGATCAAATAAAAATGAAGACTTCTATCATAACCGCTATTGTTCATTAAACCAAATGATGCAATCAGCTACCAAAAGAAAAGATAGCTTTTGTTAAACAGCTGCACAGCCTGCCCTTAAACCAAATATTTGAGCCACTACAGAAGCTGGTACTTTTCACTGAAGTACTGTTATATGGAGGAGTGTAGACTGTCCAGAAAGAAAGGGAAAAAAAGGCAGTGGAATTTGAGGGAGGGAGGAGGCAAAGAAAACATTGGGGGCCTACATCCTTTCCAGCTGGATTGCTCCCTCCCTACCAGGGAGCCATTAACCCAAACTGCCCTGTAAGGAAGAAAAAAAGTCAGATGTCAGGTCCCATTTTAATGGAGCTGGCTGCTTTGTTGTGTTTGCAGTGTGTGATTCTTGCTGAATCTGTTATAAGCTTATAAACATTGTCATCTGATTTTGAGGACTTTGGAAAACAGGATACACATCTGCTAAGTAAATTAAAAACTGGTATGTGGAACACCGCCATGCCAGTCCAGTAATAAACCCTCCCCAACAAAATATAGAACCATGGGAAAAACTAATTTTCTTTGCTTAAGAAAAACTGGTGTTCTGCCACTTGATTTTGGCCAGACAAGGTGGACTTTTAGAAGGTGAAAACTTGAGCTTAAAGGCCTGTTCAATGAATGTTTTCAATACAGAATTACATGGCATGTTTCTATTACAACGGATGCTTCTTGACATAATATTGTGAGATCAATATCTGCATGTCTTTGAAGTCTCCAGGACTGCTGGTTCTCTTTCCTCAGAGGAAAGATGTACATTCACTTCCTTAATGTCAAGGCAGAACTAGTCAAGCATGGCTACTGCCTTCACCTCTTCAAGTCAAGGGCACTCCAGAGAAAATAGACTAGAGGAGGGGTGTCCATTCTTGGAAACTTTAAGACTTGTGGACTTCAACTCCCAGAATTCCCCAGCCAGCTGTGCTGCCAAGGTTGGACACCCCGGGATTGGAGCCTGCAAACTTTATGCATTGTTATAAAAATGCCTGCCTACCAAGTTAGGAACTCAGATCACAGATATAATGGAATAGTTGCTTGTCAAGTGTACATACGGACTAAGGACATTATTCTATCTCTCACATACACTTAATATTAAGGAGACCCTCTGTAGGGTAAGAGGCAGACATCTCTCCCAGCTTTGCCACCAGGGACAGAAGTGCTGGAAACAGAACCTGAAAATGCCTGCAGATAAGCAAATGTTGAGGAGCCATAAATTGTAATGAGAAAGTTGCACTGCCAACTACAAAATCTTAAAAGATGGAAGTATCCAATCAAGAACAAATAACAATGTGGATTTTGCAGTCTAAATTTATAAAAGCCTAATTAAAAGTTGAGCATACATCTACAAGGTCAAAAATCCAGTGGCATCTCAAGACGGGAAAGGGCAAGGAAGAACACAAAACCTGTCCATGGCTGGTGCAGAAATTTCTACCAGAATATTCACGGTACTCTTACTGTTTCATGAGTCTCAGTCTTCTCTGGGCTGTCATCCAGATAGCTCTGCTCTTTCAAGACACTGCGAGGACTCTGAGGAGGAGAAGTGAAAAAACACTCCACTCAGTGTTTACTATGTTAAAAAGCAGGACTCAATAAAAGATCCTATCAAGCCCAGCAGCTACAATTTAAACAGGGTGTAGGAGACTAATAAAAAAAAAACAAACACCCAGATTTGGGATATATATTGTTAGACGCTTTCATTTAACCTTGCTTTTGCATGTTCCACTGTATGCATCCCAATGTTGATAATTCTAATTTCAATGTCTTCTCTGACTGCTTTTAATTCTGTATGAGGCATTAAAAAAAGAATATTCTAATAATATTCCAGTTCCCTTTGAAACACAATCTCAAATCGGACTCCGTAAGGCTCAGTGATTCTTTAAGGGAATAAAAATAACAAATTTCCAAAACCAGCTCACAAAACACCTGGATTCGTATTTTCTTTTGCCACAGTGATTCAAGATCTCCAGTCAGACTCTACCAGATGGATGTTATCCAGTTTGATGCTATTAGTAAGTACCACAACGCCGATTTTAATCTTCACAGCGGCAATAAACAGTTTTGGTTCACAAGAATTATTACCCCACAACAGAACCACTGCAATTCATTGGTGGGGCCAGTTGAAAGACCACATTAAGTTAACCAGTCAATTGTAATGGCAGGAAGCACACACACGAAGAGCAGGAATTTAACCAATGTGAGCTTATGTCATGTTCATTCCACAGTTCATATTTTGGAGAGGTCATAAGTTCTTGTGCCTCAAAGCTTCATAGAACTAACACAGGATTTTACTTGTGCACAGTCTTGACTGCCACACTTTAGTCTTGTCACTTATCTCCAACATTTGCAGGACCGGGTCACTTTTGACTGGTCCCCTGAACCCAGGTCAAATGTTTGCCTCACTCCAGTCAGAAGGAATGTCCAAAGACAGGAAACTATGCTAGTTTGTTCAGATCCTTTTAGGAGGTTACAATTTTCTGTCAGCAAATTTTCAAAAGTTTTCAAGAAATATTAACCAGTGCAATACAAAAATCCCTTGATTAAGGATGAATGGTGGCAAAGCAAAACCCAATTTTCATCATCCAAAAATACTCTCTGACAGAGACTGTATAAATCCAGGTTTTTCTGAACTACTTTGAGCTCTGTTGACTACTAATAATTACATCTGGAGATACGCAGTTGCCAAAGAAATGTTTAAATGTAACAACTGAGAAGGGGAAGGAGGAGAGTGAGGAGATTAAAATGTCCCAAATATAAGGTTGCTGTTATGAGGACAAACAGGAAATTCCAGCTCAATTAGGAAGTTGTTTTGCTACCTGTAAACATTTCTACCTTCTTACTGTCAGGGCAGAGAATATAAAAAAATAAATAAACATAACATCATTTTGCATATACAGATAGTCCCCAACCAGTCATTTAGCACTTGTTCCAACAAAAAAAGTCAACTACAACTGTCTTTGCACTTACAACTGTTACAGTATTCCCATGTCACGTGATCAAAATCCGGATGCTTGCAAATAGCATGTATTTACAATGACTAGTCCAGGGGTCTCCAACCTTGGCAACTTTAAACCTGGCGGACTTCAATTCCCAGAAAGCTTTGCTGGCTGGGGAATTCCATGGACCAGGGTCATGTGACTGCCATTTGGGATCTTCCCAGCTGGCTTCTGACAAGCCAAGGGGAAGACGGGATTCATTTCATGACTGCATGATTCCCTTAACTGCATTTATTTGCTTAATAACCATCACAAAGAAGGTTGTAAAACTAGGTGTGACTCATTTAATAACAGCCTTGTTAAGCAATGGTCCCAATTATGATGCTAAGTGGGAGATTATCTGTGCTAGAATCTCCCTCCTTTTCGCTGAGACACTGAGCTTTGCCATATCTCACTAATAAAACATTATTATTATTATTTTCCTCAGTCAAGACCTCACCTCTGCTGTGTCATTCACCTGGGGGCCATCCCCAAAATGACAGTCTCCTCTGTTTGGTCCATCCCTCCTCTCAGCTTCCACCTCGGTGATCTGCAAAGATTCGGATATAGATTTGGAAGACATAACGACCTCCTGAAAACGGACAAAAAGGAGGTTAAGAAAGAGCAGACACCTTAATAAAATGTTTAAAAACAGTCCGCTGCAAGTGACTGAGTAAGATATTTGGCAGGGCCACCTGCTTAGAGAACAATTTAATTATTTGTAAACAAGCAAGCAAAACAAATAATAACCCCTCAGCTTCTTCATAATTTAAGGGATGCACCAGAAGATAAAACCAGATACATCCGTCTGCAACTACAGCATAAGTACCTCCCCACAACCAGACTCTCTTAGCAAAGTGACAAGTGTGTAATTTGTTATCGCAAGGCTTTAATTTCTGCATATAATATCAAAACCAGTTTCTATGAGCTAAATGAGAAGTCAGTGCTGGCATTTATTTGTGCCTCCTTTGATCTGCTATCCCTGGAAGACTAAATGGGCTTTTGCAAACTGCCGCAAGGCGTGGATGGGAACAACTTGTTCTCACCCGGCATTCCCAGCTAAGGCAGCCCAGATCTGGGCCATAAAAGCCTTCTGATTCCTATTACCTGAGCGGAGCCTGTTGCTTTGGACAACTGCTCCTGCAGTTGAGGGATGTGCTTCTTGGCTTCCTGGATCTCTTTGAGCAGTCGGGGAGCCGGAGCGCGGCTGTAGTCTTCCTGCAGGAACTGAAAAGGTTCGAGGATAAGAGGAATCATCGTCATCGTGGCTCGTGGTTTTGAAGACCAGATTGCACCAGCTACTGGCCCAAGCGAGTCCTAAGTCCTACTAGCTTTTCATACAATGGCTGGGCCACCCATGAAATTAGAACTCAGCCTCCCAAGGAGCACTGCTGAGATGTATCAATTATCCCTCTAATACTCAAGACAGATTTAATCTAAGACTGGATGGGAAACGGGTTTCTTAAAGGGGGGCGATTACAACTGTGTTATTTAGGCCGTAGACTCCCCACTCTTGGCTTAAAGGGAGCGGCCATTCTACCAATCTGAACAAGGAATTTCACGAAGTCATTCCACCTCCCAAACTTTTCTGGTTTCTTACCAAGAACATTTTCTATTTTGCAACCAGAACACAGAATATTACATCAGGTTAAATGCCCCCCCGCCCTACTTTTTCATAAATTTCCTTTTTGGTACCTGTAGTCGTTCCTGTTCTTTCTGCAGCATCTTCCTCAAAATCTCTACTTTCTGGTTGTGAACAATGTTATTTTCCTCCTTAAAAGAAAAGATGGCCAGTTCTCATTTACAAACACAGTCTACCTGAACTCGAGCAGATTTTCAACAACATACAAGTCTAACAACCTTATTAAGCATAACAACAATAAATCTTAACTAAGTTTTAATCAGATTCAACTAAATTCATTCCCAAATGTTCTTCTCTCTCCTACCGCAACAGAAAATCACGAACATGAATATAGATATATTCAATGTGTGTGTGTGTACATCTATATCTATATTTGTTTATCTGTCTCTGTGTCTGTCTGTCTGTCTGTCTGTCTGTCTGTCTGTCTATCTATCTATCTATCTATCTATCTATCTATCTATCTATCTATCTATCTATCTATTATCTATCTATCTATTTATCTATCTATCTATCTATCTAATCTATCTATCTATCTATCTATCTTATCTATCTATCGTAGCAGATCAGACCAATTGCAAATACCCTCTCTAGTGCTATCCTACTTCCATCTTCTCCTCACACTTTCATATAAATGATTTTGCTGTGATACATAACATAGTCAACAGAGTGATGAGTTCCAGAATGGATATCTTAATTACAAGCAGCCATGCAGTCTAACCAAAATCCATGAATATCTTACCCCCATCAGCACTGGACTGGTAATTCTCTCTGTGTTTCCATAGGATCCAGGGGAGTGAGGTGATGTCATGATGGGAGACATATGCCCAAAGGCAGCTGAGTCCACCTCAGAATCAGCCAGTGGAATCTGGGGCGACCCAGGTGGGCGCCCCTGCACAGTCAGCGCTACATAGGAACCCGCTGCAGAAAGAAGATGAAATGTCATCGTTTGAGAGACAAGGAAGACTGGCTTTATACTTCCTGTTTGCTTCAAAATAGAAGAATGAGATCCACTATGGCTTGACATCAAGGGCAACATACAAAGGCAAGTTTTCCTCCAAAAGGAAACAGAATTGTATAGGTATTTGAGCAAGACCAGAGTCCCCTGGGGTAGCCAGCACAACTCGCCACGCGGTCGCTTCCAAAATGGCGGTCACTAGCCCCAACGATCAGCTGCGGGCAGTAAAGTGAAAAACGGCCCTACGTGAGTTACCTGGGCAAGCCTGGGCATGGAATGGGCACTCAGGAAGATTTTGCAGCTGTGGCTCTTCAGCACACCCCTAAGGGGTGGAAATTAATGAAGAGCTGTCCCCTCTATGCCTGGTTATTGGGCCCTTATTGGTGATTCAGGGGAAGCTGTGCAACAAACAGGGCGAAGAATGGGCTTTGGATCCAACTGTTGCCTACCTTCTGTATTGCAAACTTTTGGAGAATCCACACAATGAAGAATGCTTCTTTTCCAAAATATCACTGGAGCCAACCTTTGCCACGTCTCTATCGGGCCAAGACTGAGTCGTGACTGGGGACTTCCTAGCTCGACAAGAAGAGGTGAGGCAAAGATTGATGACTCAGTCTCTGGGCAGAAAGGCAGATTCAACCCATATGTGTGGATTCTCCCATAAGCATGCTGGAGAAAAAACAAGTAGTTGTTTTGCATAAGTGTATTAATTTGGTACAATGTGTCAGTGATCCAATCTGCCCACCTGATCATAAATTCAAGGATGTCAAATTTATTCAGCTCGTTTATAGTTGTGGTATTGAACTGATATCCACAGTTTCAACTGTCAATCAAAATACATTCAACAGCCTTGAGGTTTTCTTGAAAATGTTTTCCAAAACACTACAGTCTTAGTTTTTGAAATACAGGAAATTTCAATACCATTGTTAAATCAAATTCTTGAAAATATCATGTGAGTTTAACTTTCATCATCTCTTCCTGAAATCTCTTAAAAGAATATACACAGTGTAGCGTAGTTTAGCATTTACTTACACTTTATCAGCTTAACCACCTCCAAATGATTAGAATGTGTTACCAGAGTTCCATTCACCTACCGAAAGATAACAAATGAGCTTATTTTGATTTTCAGTTTAGGTTAGATGACTGAACTTCTAATCTATAGAACTAAGCTGATTTAACATCCACCATGCTCTTTATAAGGAAATCGGTCCCAACATCATGGTGAACAAAAGTATCGTCCAAGATTTAGCCACCTCTTTTAAAAACAAAATCAGCATACAGAGCATATGCTTGTAAAACAGAAAAAGACTATATTTTTTTTATGGACATAGTACTCTGCAGCCACATTTTAGGGATTCTGAGGGCCAGTTAAGAAAATAAATAAATTGCAGTTATAAGCAGGAATTCTGGCTTTGCTTCCATGTATATGGCATTCAGGTTTTAAGCCTTTTTGAGGGCATAAAGTTGGAATTGATTACCATTTATATCAGCCTACAAGACAAAATTATTTTAAAAAGCAGCTGGAAACAGGCGCTTATTGCTACTAATATTGATCTATTGCTCAATAAGGCATTTATTGCTTAAGCACCAACTTAAGTCCAATGGACTTCAGATGCTCAAATAGCAGACTGCCTCATTTTGTCTCAAATAAGGCTGGGTTTTGTTTTTGGTTTGAAAAAAATAATAATAATTTGCCACTTAACATTCAGTTTCAATGAACAGCCCTCACTGCACCTGTACATCTAAAGGGTTTATTTGTATTGCTAATTCTAAATATAGGTAGACAGCCTACATTTCAAACTGTTCCTGAGAGGTTAGGTTTAGCAAAACATATACAGTGATGAAAACTACTGAAGCATTTCTAATTTTCACCTCCTTCAATTTATTCTTCCAGCACTTTATGATCCTACCTTAATGATCCGGTCACCAGTTTGAACCCCAGCCCGCATGGCTGCTCCATCTAGAGAGAAGAATCAGCTGCTTAGAATTCAATACATTATTTCTAACATTTCCAGTTATGCAAGGTATTGTAGAAAAATTGTCCTGTTAGCAAAAAATTAGAAAGGGTCTTTTCCAAATAGCATGTTTTACTAAAAGGTGTAAGCTTTTGGGGAACTTCAGCTCACAAAAACTCATCCCTTTTAATAAAATGTTGGAATATATCCTGCCAGACTCCTTCCTGTTGTGCAAGGGCCACACTGAACAAAGAATGACTTAAGCATGTTTTTACAGCACAGAGCACATTTATATTCCATGCATTACAGCTGTATACTGCAAGATTTGTCTGATAGAACATTAACAGGCAAAGTGGTCCTGAATCATCCTACTTACCTTCTTTGACAGACTGTACAAAGACAGGGTTGTCACCACTGACTGTTAACCCAAATCCATTTTCATCCCGCTGAATAATAACACATCGTTGAACTAGACCTGCACAAGGAAAACAAATGACAATCAGACATCAGTGTAGGCATCAGAGAAAAATCATATGCTGGTGAAAGTTTCTCAAAGGCCACCAAATGGAAGAAAAATGAAAATGAAAGATTTGGATAGAAGGCAGAAGATAGTAAGGCAGTTGCCTTTCAAGTACTGATTATATGAAGTAGTGATAGGAAGGATAAATTCACTTTCGTACATTGATCATATTAATAAAGGAGAATATTTATAGCACAGGGTTGATATGAGGGGGTCCTTGGTGCTCTCCGGGCTTGGTTGTTGCCTGTGTTACCTGATGTTACCTTGTTTGGGTAATGAAATGTCTGCAAGAAAACAACCAAGCTCAGAAAGAACCAAGGCCCCCTCGTTGATCATATTCATTGATCATATCCAGGAGTTTAGTCCTGACTGTCTCAAAGTTGACTCAGCCTTCCATCCTTCCGACGTCGATAAAATGAGGACCCAGATAGTTGGGGGCAATAGGCTGACATTTATAAAGTGCTCAGAGAATGCTGTAAAGCACTATGAAGTGATATATGCATCTATTTAATAGCTATTGCTATTAAATCGTTCCATACATATAACCTTTCCAAATAAAATGGATGAAATGTCTTATTCTCAAAAATGACTGAAGATTCACTCAAATGTATCTGATTCATACATTTTTCCACTAGCAGAAAAGTAACCACCAATAAGCTATTTAAATTCTCAGGGAGTAGAAGCTGACCATGCTTTCAGCTCATTATTACAAAGTAAATTACAGCCTTGCACACTCAACTGCGAGGAATGATCAGTCAAGTTGCTAATCTATTAAATGCCATGAAGATCCACTTTGTACTCATTCAGATATTTGCATCTTTAAAATATTACCTATATTTTAACAAAACCTTAATTACAAGGGATGCAATCTACTTCTCTTTTTTTCTTCAGAGAAGCTGGTCATTTCAGATGTGGGCTACACAAATGAAAGAGCATCAGAACTTCTTTGGAGTGTTCAACTCCAAATACCTTTCTGTGTATTTATGTTCGGTGACAACTCAGATTCAAAAATCTTAACTATCAAGAATGTATCTCACTAATTGATAGTAAGCTCCTAATTAAGCAGTACTTTGATGCATTCAGGAATCACAAGTTATGGGAATCAGCAGACAGTGATTGATTCCACTCATATTCTCTCCCATTCATGGATACATTTGCGTTGAATCACACTAAGGAGCTGAGGGCTTGGGCTGTTTTTTGTTTTGGTATGACTTTAAAATTGACAAAAGTCATCAAAGTCTAGATTTGTTCCATAGGGTGTTACCCTGGCAACGAACTACCAAAACAGCTGGTTATTTAATTAATAACCCTTCTTATAAACCGTGCCAGACTTATCACAGGGTAATATCATCACATCTTTTTAATGCAAAGATTCTCTAAAGATATTGCCAATTCCAGACTGAAAATTGCCTATTTTACTGTCTCTTCCCACTGTGTGGGAAAAGACTGTCAAGATAATAGGCTCTTATTGCCTAGATTCTACTGAGAACAAAGATATACTTTTTTATTAGATATGGTGTCCAGATTGCTTACTGTGTAGCTTTTTTCTCATAACATTAGGCATAAAATAACTGAAGACTGTAATAACTGTAAAGGGGATTTCTCTATTTAATGAGGTAAATACTATGTAAACTCAGTGAAGATTAACTTTAATGTTTTGTCTCTTGCTCTGGGTCAACCCTGTGCAACAGTCCATTGCTACATGGATAATAAAGTAGAATAGATACAGATAGATTTTTTTTTATTAAAATGTGGCTGTATATCTAGGAAGCTGCCTCATAAATAATTGACCTGAATAAGAAAGTAGGAGAAAAGTGCAAAAGCATCCAATTGCTCAGATAATTGGCCAATTAACTTCAAATACAAAATTATGTAATATTAGAGCAAAATTAAAGCATTCATCCAAACACCACTGGATAGAGCTCTATCAATTCAGCTATTTAGAACACGTATGTGATGGGTAAACCAACTTTTATTAAGAATAAATTTTGATACAGCAATAATTCTTGATAAATACAGTAGCTTGCAAATTCATTATGCAAGCAATTGCTCACACATAATGAAGAACTGATACAGAAAGACTTAAATAAATGGAATGAAATAGCACAAAGTATCCATCTGAAATGTAAAGCAAGCAAATGTATAAGAGATTTATGAACCTCAGTTTTTGTATTCATGGTGTCTAGCTTACACAACTGTGTGTTTTAAAAGCTGTAAAGTTGATTGAAATAAATAGTAATCTTAATGGCTGGCTGATTAATGTTCATTAATAACTAAAAAGTAAAACTAAGTCATACTTATGTCAAAAATGCTTGCATTTAAGATCTGCATGTCTTTTTGTTAGGAAAATACAATTTCTGTAAATAATTTGATTTCAACATGCCTTCTTAGAAGCTTTTAAATGTCCAAAATTACTTTTCTTGAAGTGCAAACCAGAATATTTATCAAATAATGCTGATTCAAGACAAAGGCTTGGAATTGTGCTGTAGATCTCTTTCTTCAGAATATAAAGTAAAATAACATTTAACCATTCTATAGCAAACATTCTTTCAGGTGTTAAACAGAAAGACTGGAAAAAATCCCCACTAAAATGGTATTCTTTACTTACTTTACATCTTTCCATACAGAAATCAAGGTCTATGGACCTTTCATTCAGAAAAAGAATTTCAATAGTTTTCACCTCAAAAAGGTAACTGCCACACCTTTAATCCCCTTTGACACTTTTAGATATTTTTTTCCCAATGTCCAAAAGCAAGCAGAAAGACTGCAGTCATCAGCAATATAAAGCACAACATTTTCTGCTGAAAGTTTCTTAAATAGCTTCTCTATCCAAAGCAAATATTGCCAAGTTTCCACACAGATTTCAGAACAAGAAAGAAGAGGGAGAAAAGGAAGCAACCTAAGAAAGCAAATGATTACTGCAAAGAATAGAGTGGAGCTTTCATAGTTAAATTGTAACTGAACATAGAATTTTTGCAGGAAGTCTGAGAGGAAACAGGTTGCGTTATGAAGTCATGCTTTATTACACGTATGTTTATGAAAAGTCAAGATATAGCATGCAACAGAGAAAACAAACTACAGATATATTCTAACATGCATACTAAATATTCCCATGAACAAGGTAGATTAGTTATTTCACACACAAAAAAAACCTTTGTTATGCAGTGGTTTTTCCCAATAGTACATTAGGAAAGACTAAGACTAGTAGGTACATCTCTGTATAATATAATTGCATTACAATTTCTTAAATTTTTATGTAAAAATGGTTTTTCTGAATGTAGAAAAATATGCAAATAGCTGCAAAGGAACTATATAAAATCCCCGTAAAGGGATTTTAATTTGATAAAACCAGATCCACCCATTGTTGCAAACAGTTTTTATTTAAAAAAATGTTTTTAAAGAGATGGCTAAAGTATACCTACAGCCTCCCCTATAGGTGTTTCTTATCTATCAATCAAAGGGACAAGGTATCTATTTTATAAAACTTTCAGTCTCTATACACAAGAGATAGGGTTTTTTTTTGGAGGATGGAGGAAATCCAGGAAAATCTCTGGGAACTGGTTATGAGCAATAATCTTAATATCTTTGGACGTTTCAATTTAAGCTATATCCAACTATTCACAGGGTTAAATAGCAGAAGACAAAAATTAAGGCAGGCTATGAAGGTTTCTATCATGCAATTAACTGAAATGTTATTGTAGTTAGAAAGCCATCCATTCCATGCTACAGTTCTATGGAATTTTTTTTAAAAAATATTTCATATAATAAAAGAGTACCTACACCACAAGTTATATTCAAGAAGCTAAAAAAATAAATAAAAAGACTGTACCTTTTTTCAAGCAAACCACTATCATATTCCACAGAGTACAACTCCACACTTTCATAAAATTGTTTTACCTACATAATGAATGGTTAGTGCCAATTCCTCAAACTTTCCAACCCAAAGAAAAGATGACACTTAGATCCTGGGAGACAATATAAAAAATATCTAATATTCGCTACAAAGGTTAGTATCCACCAGCAAGCTTGCACATTTAAGCCACATGGAAGCTCAATCCTTTCCCCTGATGCAAAGTTAGCCATGCATAGCAGGGAAAAGGCAGAGGCCTTGAGCACACAGAACAATTGAACAGAACACACCGAACAAAGGCACAAGGCTACAGTGGCTGCTTCAGCTTACCATATGTCTCGGATCTACTCTCCTCTGAGCTATACTTTGTCTTCCTGGAGGAGCTATCTGCACGAAAGCAGGAGAAAAGGAGAAAAGAGATATAGGAAATATGGAGACCAACATGGAAAAACTTCATTAAAAATGATTTCTACAATTGGGTTAATTCATGCAAAACACAAACAAGATATGAGCATACAGAGATGGTAACATCTGAAATCAGAATGTGAAATAATAGTAGTTGACTGTATAGATAACATCAAATGAAAAGTTCCAGAAAAAAGAAGGCATCATAATCAAGCTCCCTCCTTTCTACAGCAAAGAATAATTGGAAAAGATGTTTTATTAATACAAAAATGCAATGCGCAGCCTTTTATACAAAGCCCTACATTTGCCAATGGTACCCAGAAAATAATTAATATTTGAAGTATCCCATCCACAATGGGAAAGGGAGAAAGTCTTGGTTACTTTGGAAATACTTGTTTCCTCCATCCTTGAAATAGCTAGGGATGATGTGTTGCTTCATGGATATCTCTTCTTAGGAGATATACTGTCAAAGGATCCTGAAAATGTCTAATTACAATGCTTGTAGGGACATATGAAAGTATAAATATACTTTCATTTCTGTAGCTATTCTTATTTCAATTCTTTTTGATGTTCGTTTGTACTAATGTGGCAAAATTTGGAAATAACAGCTACTTTTATATTACAAGCCCAAGTCTTAAAAAGATCACACTTCATTCACCCTCACAGTCAAACTCCAAGGAAGTATTATTTTTATGTTACAGATAGGGAAATGCTACATTATGTTACGCAGGAAATAGCCAATTCTCCAAAATTCAAGCTTTAGATCTACCTCCAAGATCTCATCTGGTAACTTAACAGCAAAGAGAAGGAATAAACATTTCATCCCAATACAGTATGTTTTTTCTCTCTATAGTTATACATCTTCCTGTATCACACAATGTGATCTTTAAAGTTATTCTCATATGTGGTAAATTCTTAGAGAATAACAGACAGAATAGCTAAATTGCACAATTTAAAAGCAACACACCATGTGGGGCCAAGAGGCTCACCCGCAAGCCAGTCACACAGTTAGGAGCATATAGCAGTCAGTCTGGGTTAGTAGGTTGGGGTGGGTGGAACCTTCACATGCAGACTAATTTCCAAGACAGCATTAGACTCTGAATGCAATACAGATGGTCTACAAGTACAGGGAAACAAAAGAAAGAAAATGAATGTGTCCAGTTAAAGTTGACAGAAATATAAAGTAATTGAGCGAAATTTCATTCAGAAGAAAACACTCCTCAGCTCCAGAGCTGAGAAATGCTAAGCATTTGCTCCGTAGGAAAGCAACCTAGCAGACATTACAATCCATCCAGCTGTTATCTATAGAACAAGATTGAGTACTGAAGAGAAAATGGAATATAAGACCCACCCAAAGGAATTCCCAAAGACAGGTAAACTGAACATTGTACTTTTTAATCTGCTGCAGTATAATCAAGAAAAAGCCAGCAAAATAAATATAAGTTTGTGCAATTTCTCATTTACATTGGCTCACATGGGCTAATTACTGGAAATATGGCTTTTTCTTTTTATCAAAATAAGAATGATCTGCTAGATCAGACCTTTGGCTTGTCTATTCCAGCAGCCTGTTCTCATAGTTTCCCAGCAGATGGCCTTGAGAGGCAATAACACTGCCATATCAATGCTAATACTGTCATCCCTATTAATTCGAAGGAAATATATATACAGATGAGTATAATCACAGGCAAATGAGTAAAATTTAATGCAGTTTACAACTGTTGGATAGGCTTCATACATTTGTTTCCTGAAGCTTAACACTCAAACAAAGTTGGAGTTTCTAATGATTAAAGAAGTCACAATGGGCTCTGTTTGTAAGTGCAGAAAGTATACTACAGGATGCTACATTTACAACATAGTTTTCCAACTAAAATAAACAGTGAACAGTCACAGAGGCTCAAACTAAATCAAAATAAGAACACAGGGAAAAACTAAAACATATCTGTTATATAATCTGCCCATAAGGCTTCAAAAACCTTTCTTCTTTAATGTGTAGTTTTCTACCTTGGAATTCAACTTTCTAGGTAGATTTAAAACAAACAAAAGCCACTTTATTATGCAACTCCAGAAGTATACAACTCAGAAACACAAGAATAAGGAACAGTGTGAAACCTCACTGACAAAAATTATGCAATTAAAGTAGAAAATAAAAACTGCAGAAACCCTGTTGTTGTCCTTGAATATAATATTGGCAAAAGAGGTTAGTCAACTTTTTAATTCCAAAGCTGGACAACAGAAAAATCTGAGTGTTCTTTGGGATGTGAAGGTAATTCTACCTGTTGGGTCAAAATCATGGGCACTAATGCAGCGCTCAACCTTCTGCTTCTTGTCCGCTGGAGACTCTCTGCTCAGAATGCTGCCATGCCTGAAGCCAAACAGAAAGGGGAACAGAATCATTTATTTTAACTGCATTACATAAACTGAGCTAATTTTAAGAAACCCATTAATATCTGCCCATTTTCCATATTATTTCTATTCAGGAAAACAATCTATCTAAAGGCAGGAATCCATGGTTCATTTCCTATGTCTCAGATAATTCAATGTTGTTAGTGGAGTACAGTTAAATATATCCCAAACCTTCCATATTAGCTTACTGGAAGATGGGAGAGGACCAGAATTTTATTAGTAGATACAGAAAATCAAACCTTTAGAAACTTACCTTGTAGGTTTTTTGAGGGGAAACCTGAAAAATAAAATAACAAATACATATAGTTAGTACCATATAAATTGTTTCCAGATTACAAGAAATCAATGTCAGCCAGCATGTGATAGATTTAAGGATAAACACTTTTATTTCGTTGTTTTTAAGATGCACAATTCTGAATTGTTGTTTGGGTTTCCACAAAAAATCTAAAGAAAGATGGAAGATTTTAACCCCATGATCTGCTCATGGGATTCTATTCTACTACACAACAATTGTAAAGGTGTCTTTCAAGTAGTGCTTCTGTTACATAAATATTCTATTTCTTTCTTCTACATGAAAAGACTCATACTTCTTCTACCTATTGAAATCATTCATTATGATAAAATTACCTGAATCCCTAAAATGAGATGTATTGCTAAATTCGTCAGGACTATTAATATTCTAGTATATAATTCAGTCATTTGTTCAGTCAAACAACTATAAAATAATTGATTTACTCCTAAATTCAACGTAATAGATTTTAACAAATTACGCAGTATCCTAAGCTATTTAAAGCATCTATAAGAAAAGTATTTAAGAATCTATTGCACACAAAAACAATTGACTAACTCATTTCACTCTACACAAAACTCTCAACTGAAAATTGGCTATAAACTGTATAGCATTATAATGCAATTAAGCAGCTTTGTTTCAAAGCTTAAAAAACTTTATTAATAAAACTAGTATTAGCATTTATAGCATTTTTCAATTCTGTTACTGAAATTTAGAGCAAATTTGTTTCTAGGTTTAGAGATAAACACTCAAATAAATTACTGTGAATTCCATACTTATTCTTTCTTTGCCTTCATCTTTCTACATGAAAATCTAGATTCCAAGCGAGGCTGCATATGTCAAGAGGACAAATTTTACAAAGGTCTTCTGGGATAGATTCTCAGAACCTTATCGGCACAAGCCAGAGTCCCCAATCCCATTTTTTCCCCTCTCCCTTCACCCATCCTGAACGGGAGGGAGGAGCAAATAAGAGTAATGATAGCAAAACAGACAGGGAAACCCACAAATAATCTGATATATTGCTGTTATGGAACCGTAGAATGTTAGTCTTTCCTTTCCAACGTGAAATGTTATCACTTAGTATGCATAAAAGATCAAGATCACAAATTAAGTTAATGTCCTGCCTTTATCAAAATCCTGCTCTCTTCTGTATAATTCAATAAAAGCCAACACTAACTTTAATATGCCATCAAAGAGGCAAAACATATATACAAGGGTAAAAAATTTACTCATATGAATTAGTGTTTCACAGAACATGATTATATGCTGAATACATGGTTTAATATCAAATTTACCATGGAGGTAAAATTCTCTTTCCAACATGATACCACACTAAGAATTATTTAGGCAGCATCTAAGAATATAGGTAGTTCCATGCAGCATATTTTTATGTAACAACAAAGATGAACCATACTTTCTTCTTTTCAACAACTGTTATATCAGGCATGTTTTGAACAAGAGACTTGTCTTATTTTAAACATGCACTACACCTAGGTGAACATCCCACTCTATTAGAAAGAGGATTTGTTTTATTCAAGGGAAGCTCTACAAAATAAACTCTATAGCACTGAAATTACATGATGATGATTTTCACAAAAAGTAAAAAAGATTTTTCACACTGCATTAAGTTAAAAATTGCAACTGCTATTGTATTGCTTTCAACTATGAACTAAAGAAACAGAAGATAGTCAGGACTATCAAAACAGGAAATCAGAGAGGCAGCCAACTGACAATCCTCACAAATTACCTTGAGATGACCACATCAGATGATACTGTATGAATCATCAAAGGACATGTACAGTATTATTCAGGGAGGACTAACACTGGAGACATTATTGTAGGATGCCTGAAAGAGGTTCAAAACTGGCACAATGTATTCCACTAACTTTTCAGCCCATTTCAAACATTAGGTCTTAGCAAATTATAAAAACAGTATGTTTTTCAAACATATACTACACTATCATACATGGGATGCCATAGCAAATGTAACGTTCGGTTTCTTTGAAACCAACCCTTAAGTAATGGATTAATGTCTATATTAGAAAAAAATATTATACACAGCTGAAGTTTTTGTTTTGTTTTCAAAATTTGAGCCAGTCTTGACTCTTGAACATATAAGTAGCACTCAGTTAATGACTGCAGTTGGGCCTGTAATTCTGGTCAAGATGTTATGGTTAAGTAGGTCACCATATCATTTTACCTGATTTTAGAACCATTTTGGCGACAATCAGAGAGTCGCAATGGTCATTAGGGAAATCACATGGCTGTTAAGTGAACTACGTCCATTTCCCCTAATGAGTGGTTTTGGCCACGGGATGCTGCAATTAGTCACAAATGTGAGCTGGTTGTCAAGGACATAGAATGCAATCGTGTGGCTGTGGGAGGAGGGCAGTTGTAACGTCAAGGATGGGTTGCAATTGTTTTTTTTTAAGACTGTTGCAACTTCAAATAGTAGTTAAGTGACTGGTCATTAAGCAAGGACTACTTGTACTGTTATCTTGGTGGTTCTCAACTGAAGTATAAATACAGTGAAAGTGTAAGGGTTTAGTTACTAAAGTTTCGGCTATAAGTCTAGCCATTCAGTCCTCGTTCAAGCAAGCTCTTTAGCACTGTTCCATGACACTAGTCCTTGGATTTTTCCAAAAGCTGATGTCAGGATATTTCACAGAGAAAGAACTGCATTTACAAAATCAGCAGGAAAGGAGGGCTTCCCCAGCAGCTATGCTCAATGTAGCCATTGTGCTGCACTGTAAGTGGGAGCCAGAGTGTTGTCAAAGGCTTAACTTGCTGCCGAACGTATGCTCGCTTAGGAAAAAGGATTTTTAAATACAACAAAAAATGCTAAACATTTCTCCTACCAAATACTATTCTTCCCAAAGATATTCATTTTTATCATTGATAGCTCATTCTACAAACAGGGTAACAAACTCGGTACTTTAGTCATAATGAACCTACCAAACAGAACTGCCTTCCATTTTCTTAGTTATTTTTAGTTATTTGCAAGTGATAATTTGTAAGCATTGAAGAGTTTCATTTTATAGATTTCTGGACAGTAAGATGAGGCTACATTGGGCAAAACCTGAAATTCTGAACCAATACAATAAAGTTAAGTTGAGAAAAATCCCTCTTCTATTAACAGAGAATATAATTTGATAAAGTGAGTCTATAAATTATGTTATTTTTATCTATAAAATTTGTATAGTTGCCCATCTCATTGAAGACTATAATGGGTGGCACAAACAACTACTCTGGGGGAGCAAACAACATTTTAATAATAACTTTAAACAAATCAAATAATTTTACAAGTTTGGCTCCATAGTTATGAGTTACAGAAAGTGGAAGACAAAGTAAAGAATATATCAATTGCATGTAATAATTTGAAACTCAAGTATGCTTAATGTAAGATCTACCTAGAATCTTTTGTTTCAAAACAACAAAACTATATATACTTTCATGCAGAGATAATCTAAATAATCAAGAGAAGGCTTTATAACTCAATGAGAGAAAACCTATGTTTGATGCAGGAGAGTCAACATTTTGAGCATCTTTGAAGTGTCTAAAAATAGGCAACACTGAGCTAGGTGGATCAAGAGTTGGTTTTCATATAAAGCACCTGTTTATTTTACCTACCACAGCCATAACTATAGTAAGCCCAATAAGCTTATAGCAATTTTAATTGTTATATCTATTAGCTGCATTTCACATGTTTTGCATCATTAAACAGCTATTAAGATCTTCTACTTCAAATCCGTGCAAGGAACATTTAAGATAATGTTAGATTGTACTTGAAGGAGTTGAACAATTACATTGTCCACATACTACCAGGTCCAATATTTCTGAACTAAGGTGAATGAGGTGCTGCCACCTGCTGAGACATGCATTAACTGTGATAATTGCAAATGGATGCAGATACTTCCCATGTTGTCACAAAGCATCACAGAGCCTTGTATCAACAATATTATGACCCATATTGACAATAGAATCTTTCAAATTAGTTGTTCTAATTCTAGACCAGTATTATTAAATATACAAACTGACAACCTAATAAAATATACAAACTGACAACGTAATTCGCAGACTGATTTTTTTTAAAGCAATGATAATGTAACCCAGCCAGTGATCATATTTCAAAGTGGCTTATTGCAAAACTGCACTGGTCCAATTTTGAAATTGTCAATTTAAAATAGATTACAGATTATGTAATATTTCTTTTCCAAAAAGCTCATTGGTTCATTCCTATTAAATTAGCCACTTTGATTACTAAATGCAGTTTCCTCTTACAATGTTGTTAAAGATAAATAAGATATTATAATCATTTACTAACACTGAACAATAACTACCATAGAGACATTAACCAGCCTTGCACATGGATAAATCACAAAAGCTGGCAAGTGAGTTGGATAATGGTTTGCATTCAGCTCAGAATCTCTGATCAAGAGAACAGTATTGCTGCCTGCTTCCTCCATGCAAGACATATTTCTTGGCTGTCAAAAGCTTTGTTCTCAAACAGAGGCTCACGAGAGCAAAATATGCTTTCACAAATTAGAAACCATCTCTCGGAAAAGCAAGCGCACAATGATAACCTAGCTGCACAGAATACATATACTAACTACTGTTATATACATTGCTTGCCACATATTCTCAAGATAAGCTATTTCCCAGCTATTTTTAAACTGCGTCTGATACAAGGAAACAAAGACTTGGAGATTACCTGGGTTTTTAAAAAAATTATCCAGGAAAGGTCATTCCACTCAAAAGCCAAATCTTAAAAAACAAAACAAAAACCTGCTATCTATCTGGTTTTGATGGTTTCTTTAAAGAGATGCTTTAAAATCACTGAAAGCTTTTAAACAGTTGGGAGACAGGAAAAGGAGGCGGAGTTTCATCAGTTTTCCCTCCCAGCATTTACTGTACTGTGGTGCTAGCAGAGCAGCAAAACGGATTATAGTAGTTATATATATATTGCTCTTCTGAAAATATTCCTACAA